AGCTAAATGCCAGTTAGCTCATTAAGAGGCTTCAGTGCCAGCTGATGGGGGATGTCCTCCTGTATGCTATGAATATATGTTTTCTTATTGGTTGGTGAATAAAATTGTTTCAGCCAATGGACAGGCAGGATGTAGTCACACAGGAAGTATAGGCAGGGCTACCAGACTCAGAGAATTCTGGGAAGAGGAACATGGAGAGTGAGTCTCAAGGAGACACCATGTAGCTACTGGGAAGGTAGGACGTCCGGTAAGCCAAGACCATGTGGAGATACATAGACAAATAGAAATGGGTTAATAATTTAAAAAGAGCTAGCCAGTAAGAACGCTGAGCCATTGGCCAACCCGTTTATAATTAACATAAGCCTCTGTGGCCTCGAAACCAGGCAGAACAGAAACTTCCATTTACAAGCAGCCCAGATCCCTGTGGCTGTGTTTCTTCCAAACTGTATTTAAAAAATAATAATAATAAGGTAAATATATTTATATATAAAGAGGGACTCAGTGCATTCTATCACTCAACAGTCAACACATGGATGCCTGACATTCAAAAGGGGTAGATCGGCAGATGGGGTTGTCGAAGGAAGCAACAATCACAGGAAAGCGTGCAGATAAGAGCAGCCAATGAAATAAAAAGAAACTCTTGTCTCCCACACTAGCTGGGGCTTGAAGAGTTAACTGAGAACCCACCCCACGTCATCCAATCCAGGCAGACAGAATCTTAGCCACAACTAAGTAAGACAAAGGGAGAAGATAAGACTCAAACCAAACACGAAAATAAACCGAGTTGTTAACATTTTAGTGGAAAGTATAAAAACTGACCAGGGTATCATTGTGGAATGACAAAGGGAACTCAACAGCACTCAGCTGAGCCCATGTTGGGTTAATCCCCTTACATGAGTTCACATGACCCACAGGGTATTTGTGTCTGTATTTTCTTGGTTGTAGCAGCCTTATCATTCATGTCCTTACTGGATTTTCTCTGGAGTTATCCTTTCTGCTCTCTCTGAGATGAAATGCATACTCGCATGGCGTGGTAGAGAGGACGCAGTAGAGCCACAGCTTTCCATTTACTTTAGCTGAATGTTCGACGTTTTGTCAGAGCCACTTTTGAAGTTTCGCAGTTATAACCTCTTGCTCTCCTTGGGGTTCACCAGTTCCTTCGATGAATTTCAAACTCTTTCTGTGGGTTTCATAAGGGTTTAGCAGTTTTTCTAAGGGATGTTTCTGTAGCGCTGTCCACCTTTGACACACCCATGAAGTCTTAAGGAGGCGACCAGAGCACAGGCCCCTATCGTCAAGCTCCTCTCTATTCTCTTTCCTCCTCCTCTTCTTCTCTCCTCTCCAACTCAGAAAGTCATTTTCTGTCTATGTATTGATGGAGAGGAAAATATTCCCCCACATTAAATGTTCTTCCAAATCTGACCAAATAGCCATGGTTCGTTGTGGGATCTTCCTTGAAGTACAGAAGCCTCCTGGCTTGATCTATTATATGTTATCACAATAGAATGTCACAAGTAGGGCAATTTATCAAGATTAGAATTTTGTTTGTTTTGTTTGTTTTCTGAGACAGGTTTCTCTGTGTAACCCTGGCTGTCCTGGAACTCACGCTGTAGACCAGGCTGGCCTCAAACCCAGACATATGTCTGCCTCAGCCTCCCAAGCACTGGGATTAAAGGCATTCACCATCACTGCCTGGCTAGACATTTATTTCTTAACGTTCAAGAATCTGAGAATTACATGACCAGCTTTCTTCACCTGACAAAGACCTTCTTGCTACATCTTCCATGGAAGAAGGCAGGAAAAAATATGTGAACACGAAGTGGCTGTATTAAACATTCTGTTGAAATAATACCAATCTACTCATGAGGGCGGAGCTCCGATGACCTAATCGTCTCTTAAAATTCTCTCTCAAATGTTCAGACTTAGGTGAGACAACTATATCACACCCCCTCTATCGTGGTAAATAAGGATCAGGATAAACAAATAGGCCGAATAGATGTTTATTCAGGGAGAGATAACTTACAACCTAGACAGATGAACACCAGGAAATTCAACCCCATCCTCTCCTGTCCGAGTCACGCCAGAAAGAGAGCGCCTTTCCTGGCCCCCTCCGACCTCCTTCCTCAGGTCACTTCCGCCCATGGCTCCACCCCCAATGGGCGTGGTCAGTGCCACAGAAGGACTATCTCACTACACCCCTCCCCACAGGCTCACCTTCCACCATCTTGGAAAAGGGGGGTAGAAAGGTTTGTAAGAGTCAGAGGTTGGAGAGGAGGTTCTGAGAAACAGTGCCTCCTACTCAAGCTAGCACCATGGATGGCACCGAGACCCTCACAGCATCTGTGGTAGAAGCACAAGATTAAGTCACTCAAAATCCCTGCACGTGTGAGAGAGAACCTCCCGATGCCCCACCCTCGGCTGAGGAAATACTGGTGGCTGCTAGGTGCTGGGTAGTGGAAAGCAGTTTTCCTTTGGTTGTGTGGCCCCTGATAGGTTGTCCTCACTCCAGAGGATGACGTCATACTCACTTCATAATTTCACATAGCACTAGTTGGACTCGATGAGTCATTAAAAAAAGGACATGAAGTTGAGTGGGAAATGTGTTGGAGTCTGAGAAGATGGACATGATCAAAATACAACACACATAGATTTGTAAAATTCTTTAGAAGTAAACGTAAAGATATTTTTTTTAATCCCCCCCTCTTGACGCTGTGGCAACTGGAGATCAGATTTCTAACGCATGAACTTTAGGAACCACATTCAAGCCATTGCACCTCTGTGCTGTATCTCCATATTTAAAGAGAAATGGGTTAGCTCTATGAGTGGCTTAGATCCTGAGAACAGATCCCCAGAACCACTGTCTGCTTCTCTCCATCGCTCTCTTGCTCAAGTCACCGTGGTACGCCCTTCTGCCTTCCCATCCTAAGAGTAAAGAAAGGCATGGATGAACCCCAACAGAAATGCCACCAGAAGAATGGAAACCAACACTGCAGATGAGGGAAATGTGCATACATTATTTATTGCAAACGTACATAAGCTGAGACAAAATAAACAAAAATGTACAGGTTGGTGCTGCTGGCCGTCGCTATGTCCCTGGGAAAAGGGACTGAAGCCTCTTACAGGAAAGGTCAATAATACTATTTCCCGTTTCTGCCTATGATGACTAAAGCAGCTATGAGTTTTCTTGTGTAAGTTCCCATGTTGACACTGGAGTTTCTTTTTCTCTGTAGAATACTTTAGTCATTTTCTGATACCCATCTTTGTCTGGTAGTATTTTTATACAAGCATGTCAAGTAACACCATATAACTTGGCGGGGCTCTTGTTGTTTGTAACTCGATGCATCCACAAACTGGCTGGTCCCCTTGGTTCAGCAACTGGAATGCTGAAATAAAAATCAAATTACACCTTGTCCAGCTACACAACTCTGGTTCACAGTAGTAAACTTTCAACTTCTTTATTTTAAGTCAAATTCATTTGGAGTTGTGGAAATTCACTACTGACCATCCTTTTCACATAGTGAGAAAAGCTCATGAGCAAATGGCAGCCAAATCTTGATGCCAACAGGAGGTAATAACTGGGCCATTCACTGTTCAACTGAAAAGCATATTCCTCATTTAAAACAAGCAACCTGTCTTAGTTAGGTCTACTATTGCTATGATGAAACGTCATGACCAAAAGCAGTTTGGGGAGGAAAGGGATTACTTTATTCAGTGTTCCATATAAACATCTGTTTTCAAAAGCAGTAGGGCAGGAAATCAAGCAAGGTAAGAAGCTGAAGGCAGGAGCTGATGCAGAGGCCTTGGAGGGCTGCTGCTTACTGGTTCGTTCCTTGTGACTTGCTCAACCTGCTTTTCTATAGAACCGGGGACCACCAGCCCAGGCTGTGCCCTTCTGAACCAATCACTAACTAAGAAAATTATCTACAGGCTCGCCTACAGCCCTCTTATATTTTTGGTTGTGAGCCTAGCTCTTGAGAGTTCAGGCAACCCTCCAGTCCTGCCTACAACCCAGTCTTACAGAAGCATTTTGGTTGTGAGCCTAGCCTTTAACGGCTGAGCCATCTCTCCAGCCCTTACAGGCATTTTCACAACGGAGGCTCCCTCCTCTGTGACGGACTCTATCTTGTGACAAGTTGCCATTAAAAACCTAAAACTAGATGACATAAAACCACTGACCAGATTCAACCAAGTCACTGTACAAAACTCAAAAACAAAAAAAAACAAAAAGCTTCAGGCTTCATGAAGAGTGCTGGTGCCGCTAGAAGGATCCACACCAAGCAGCCTGCTGGTCCTCACTGGACAGCAGATTCATTCGTGGTCCCGCATCTGTCCAAAACCAGAGGGAGACGAAGCCCACTGTCTTTCCTGTGTACTGCTTGAGACCTTTCCAGATGAAGCTTCATTCTAAGTGAAAGATGTCCATGTGTGTGCTACAATGAGTTTGTTCTTTGCTTTACATGGTAGCTGTAAAACTAGACCCTTCTTGCAAAACACTGTCAGTAAGAAAAGAGAGCAAGAAGACTGAGCACAGCTGGACATGCCTGCTATTTAGACCGTGGTAGCAAGAAAATCATGGGCTAGCCTGGGTAATATAGAAAGGAAATCTGAGAGGGCAATATGTTTTTACAAATAACAAGAAATAGCGAAAGTCATGTGAAGTAAGTTTAAAAAAAAAAAAAAACAAGCAAGCAAAACATGCAATCCCTAACTTGGGATTCTGGTGAATAGGGACTAAGACATGAAGATGCTGCCCTAGACACTCGTTGTAAATTCTGTTTAATAAGTTTCTCAAACGCCCCCAGACAAATGAAAGGGAGTCAGAGCCAGTAACCAAATCCTTTCATGGTTTGCATATCTTACTTGTAGTCATATGACAATCAAATGAAGAAAAATAGGAAATGCCTATCAACTAAGAGGGGAAGCCATAAAGCTGACCGTGGCAGGGTTAAGCAACAGGTGACACTTCTCACCCAGGAACCTAAAAGTCAGAGTCGGACAGAATGGCGACAGTAACCACTCACATTAGCGACAATCATGCTCCCTGGTATGAAATCTTCATCACTCTTGTGGTCTGCACAATAGGCTGTATCGTTGGTATCATTGCCAATGGTTTCATCATGGTCATCTACGGGACTGAATGGGTCAGGAGCAAAAGATTCCCAACTCGTGACCAGCTTCTGTTGATGCTGAGTTTCTCCAGGCTCTTGCTACAGATCTGGATAATGGTAGAGATCACTTGCAGTCTATTCTTCAGGATCATTTATAGCCAAAACTGCATGTATAAGCTCTTCAAAGCTGTCAACGTGTTTCTGAGCTACTGCAACCTCTGGTTTGCTGCCTGGCTCAACGTCTTCTACTGTCTGAAAATCGCAAACTTCGCTCACCCTCTGTTCCTGCTGATGAAGCGGAAAATCACGGTGCTGATGCCTCAGCTCATGAGTCTCTCTGTGCTGGTTTCCATCGGTTTGAGCTCCTTCTTCTCTAAAGACATCTTCAAAGTGTACATGAACAATTCTGTTCCCATTCCTTCCTCCAACTCCACGCATAGGAAGTATTTCTCTGAGACCAATGTGCTCAGCCTGGCTTTTTTATATTACGTGGGGATCTTCATTCCTTTAGTCATGTTCATCATGGCAGCCACTCTGCTGATTGCCTCACTCAAGAGGCACACCTTGCACATAAAAAACAGCACCACGGGCTCCAGGGACTCCAGCATGGAGGCTCACTTGGGTGCCATCAAGTCAACCGGCTACTCTCTCATTTTCTACGTTATCAATGCACTGGCTCTGTTCATTTCCATGTCAAGCATCTTTGATACCTTCAGTTTCTGGAATAGTCTGTGCAACTTTATCATGACTGCCTATCCAGCTGGCCAGGCAGTGCATCTAATCTTGAGAAACCCTGGGCTGAGAAGAGCCTGGAGGAGGTTTCAGCACTGCGTCCATCTTTTACTTTCAAAGGTAGATTAGTGACTGGAATCCAGAGGATACTGTAAGACCCGGTCCAACCAGTTCTGCTTCTCCTCCCAGACCTCTCCATCCCCTTTTCCCACACACAAAACCTGCTCCCACACTAACTACTGGGTACTGATGTGAATTTGAACTTGGATTAACATGAAAATCTAAACAGAAGTCGGTAAACAACTTGAAGATTGACTTTAAAAAAAAAAAATAGTTTCTTGACACAGATTCAGATTCAATCATCTCTGGCCCCAAGCTGTTTTTCACTCTCCACAAACCCCTGAGATCTCAGTTTAGCCAAGAGAAGTCTTGGGAGGAGATCTCAGTTTAGCCAAGAGAAGCTCTGGTTGCTGTCTGTTACCTATTGAACACCCTTTGATCCTTGAAGGCATGTTGATCGAGATAGAAAATTATCTGGGCTAGTCTACTTTGAACTCCCTGCTAACTCCAGAGAGGAATAAAAAGGCTGCTACCGGGCACAATATCCAGGCCTAGAGGGGGAAGGGAACCCAGAATTCCTACAGAGAAAGGAATTGGGAAAGAACAGCTGACCACAGCTACTAACATGTAAGATGTTGGGTCTTCCTAAAGAAGTGAAGCATGATGAGACTTTGGATTTGATGCATCGGAGACCATGCTTACTACTAATGGGCTGATTGGGATTGGTCGGCACCCAGCTTCCAGAAGTTTCCAGAGAGGGAGATGAAAAAGGGGACAGTATGTACCTAGAGAGTTTGTAAAAGCCAGTCACACAGGGGTTTCTCCGGATTAAATGATGAAGTAGAAGGTGGGAGATGGAAACGTGTGCACTCAATTGAACGATTTATTTTTCCAAGTGGGAGGAGATGAAGAAAAAGGAGAGGAGAGGAGAACAAAAATGGAGGGGAGGGAGGGTCAAATGAGCAGAAAGGTCCAGATACCAACTCACGGGCAACCGGGGTCCACCCACCCACCCACTGGCTTTACCTATGGGGAAAGGGTGGGCTACAGGGGAACTGCTGTGGAGAAAGCATTCCTCTCCGTTGTCGCTCTGTAGAGTGAACGTGTCAAATGACTGCTTACAAAATGGGAACGTGAGTGTTTCTTCCATTGCGTACTTTGTGGGTTAAAAGTAATGAAGAAAACAAAGAGAAAGCTAGGGAGCTCCCAAATGAAACGTGAGATTGACGGCAAAGACTAATAATTCTGTGTTCCTTGCCTCTCAGATTCGTGCGATGGAGTGCGCTGCACCTAGAAACAGCAAAGGAGAAAAACAAATCACTACATGCGCATATCCACTCATTCAAATACGTTACCCGGTAATTGTGAAAACGCATTGTTTGATTCTTTTTTTTTAAGTGACACCTTATTTATTTAAATGACGACTACTTTCTTATAGTTGTTATAGTAAAAATAAATTAGATTGCAAGTTTCATTCTAATTCCTATGGAATAGAGGGAGGAAACAAAAAAAAAAGAAAGAAAGAAAAAAGAAAACACATTTTCCAAGCAGCAGACGCTGACAGAGAACTTCCACAGCCACTGTGTATATGCTAACACATCGCAGAGGACGCAGGAAGATGATTTGGAGTTGACAGCACATTATTAACATGAATTCTGACAAAATCCCTCTCTGGGTGGGTTTGTTCTGAAGGAATGGCTCCTCCTTGTCTGCAGGCACCTACAGCAGCAGACAGGAAACCCAGTCAGCTCCACTGCAGCCTGAGAGTTTGCAGGCTGCAGGAGACAGAGGCAATGGAGTAGGGGAAATGCTCTCCTCCTGTGTATGCTCTCCCCCAGAGAGAGAAAGGTAGCAGAGGTTTCTTGTCACAAAAAGGGGGGGGGGATATTCAGGAACCCGTGGCTAAGAGCAGACAAGTCTAGGCAGGAATCCGTGTGGGAAGGGGAGAGCTTGGGGAGAGAAACTGTGAAAGGGAAGGTCAGGGGTCCTGGGAGCTGCACAGCACTCTTGGCCAGCACCAGCGCCATTTGGGAGAAGCTTTCTCCTCCGTACTTCATGCAAACCCAGCAAATCAAAGGTCTGGATTCCAAGAGTATTCTGAAGCAGTGTTTCTGAGTAGGATGATTCCCGGTTAAGACTGGATACAGCAAAGGCGCCCTGTGTAGGTATATTCATCTACCAAAAGCCTCCACTGAGGAAATAAAATGTTCTGGTTCATCTTTCATTTATGTATGAGAGACATATTTTATGTACATATTTATGTTTAAATATGATGTGTGTATATGTTATACATTCAATCACAGTGTTTTATGAATGCTGACTCAAGTTGGTTGCATCAGGGAAAAAAAAGACATAACAGAAAATGTTTTTTTTTTTGCTTTGTTTATTTTGTTTAAGTGATACAAAAAAAGGGCTGGAGAGAGACGGGTTCAGGAGTTAAGTTAATCCAAGTTCAGTTCTCAGCACCCACAACTGTAATCCCATCGCATCAGAAACCATCTTCTGGCCTCTGTGGACATCAGACATGCACAGGGTACACACATATCCATGCAGGAAAACACTCACACCTGTAAAAATAATAAATCTTTTTCTTAAAAGTAATATAAAGAGAAAAGAGCCCATGGTTCCCTGGTTTCGGGTGTGACTGAGTACTAGGCCAGGATGCAGAGAACCCCGAATTGGAGAGTTAATAGGAAAGCTTTGGGGACCTCTTGGACAGTGACACCTGCATCCCATGTAGTCCTTATAGTAACCATATCCAAGTCCCGGCTCTGCTTTTTATCGTGTGGGACACTGGATGGTGGCTGCACCTCTGAGCCTCTGTAAATCATAACATCCACCTTGACTCCTGCCCAGAGCCCACTCAGACCCAGCTGGATACACGGAGCACTGGGCCTGGACGCTACTTAGACTTGGGGCAGAATGTGACCACAAGGTCAGTAGTAGTTTGTTCTACTTGAGTGGAAGGTGGGAAATGGAAGCCAGGTGCCCCGAAGCCCTCAGGCCCTGCATCTCCACTGGGTAAGAAGAGAAATGGTTGCCAGGCAGCAAGCATTCCAGCTTCACTGCCCGGGAATGTTGATTTGAACAAAATAGGACACCAGGTCAGGGGTCAGCCAGCTTTCCTGCCAAAAGCTGGAGAGGAAATGCTTCAGTTTTTGTGAGGCACAAAAAGTCTCTGTCACAGGGACCCAGCAGAAAAAAAAAAAAAAAAAAAAAAAAAAAAAAACCTGTGAGAGACGACATTTAAAAGAATGGGAAGGGTGTGGCTATGCTCCAAAACAATTTTATTTATGGACACTAAAATTTGAATTTCATGTCCTTTTCAAATGTCGTGAAATACTATCCTGCTCTTGAGTTTGTTTAATCATTAAGAGTGTTTAAAACTGTGTCAGGAATGATGGCACATGCCTTTAAACCCAGCACCGGAGGGGCAGAGATGGGTGCCTTTCTTATTCGAGGCTAGCCTGGTCTATCCCAGGACAACAAGGGCTACTCAGAGAAACACCTCCTTAGAAAACAAAACTGATAAAACTTGTTCCTAGTGCCTGACCTATGCAACAGGAGGAGGGGAAGAGGAGGTGTGGCTTGTGTTCAAGCCACAGCTGTGGACCCTGTGAGGCAGTTAGGTGGCCCTGTGAATCACCGATGCACCTTATCAATTGTTAGTTCTCCAGTGGAAACACTCCTTTTTAAACCTCTCTAATGCAACCGTACAGAGAGAACCAACTCCCACAAGCTGTCCTCTGACCCCGACACATGCCCAGTGACATACGTAGACACACACACACACACACACACACACAAATAAATAAGCAAATGTGAAAAATAAAAGTAGGGGCAGGGAGGTGGTTCATCGGGTAAAGAATGGCCTAAATATAATTCCCGGGGTCCACATGGTAGAAGGAGAGGGCGGATCCAGCAAGCCACTCCTAGCACTCCAGCATGCATAAACCAGGCACGTGGCCCATACTGGTCATCCTATCATTGCGAGGGACAGGCTGGAGGATCAGACGTTCAAGACCATCCTCGGCTACAAAGCAAGTATGAAGTCTGAAGAGAATACACAAGGCTGTAACAGACAAAAACAAAAACAAACATAGCCCTTTGGTTCTTTGTATAAAATAAAACATCTAACATCTAGTTTAATAGTTTCCTCTGTGAAGGGTGTTACACAGGGCCTGGTGTTTTGAAAGATTACTCAGAAGCCACTCACTCGATAATCACAAATAACGTAAGTAGAGAGAGGTGCACAGCTTCTGTCTCTTTGAGAGCATTTGAAGGCATTATCCGCAGCTTTCAGACAGGCACGTCCCTGTCAACTATCTCTGCTAGGCTGAACCCCAGGCTAGACCCTGTTTTCTCTTCCTGTGTCTGACCCTTCATGCCAAAGCTCGAGCTTTGTGTTCTTTTCATGAGTAAGTTGCTGGACGGCTTAGGATGTGGTGATACATAAGGTCCAGAGTCCTTGTGGCCTATGAAGAAAACATGCTCTTTGATGCCAAAGCTCTAGATTTGGTGATCATGGATACCACTCTGAGCCTGTTTCGCCATCTGGAAAGCAGATAAGCATAATATCCACTTCCAGGGTTTCTTTGAGGTAATGGTTAGTGTATAACACACTAGAAGGCGCCATATGAAGATTGGTGAGCGTGTTCATTCAAGTGAATGTATACTCAGCCATTCAAAGATTAAGCTAATGAAATTCTCATCCTATAAGAGTGATTTGTTGGAGATGGGAAGGCTGGCTAACTTGTATCTGTGAAGGTGGGGGGGTGAGTCTGTATACTGTGGGTGGAGTCAGGAATGTAAATTGAGCCTCAAGTGGCCACAATTACAACTTCTACCCCACGAAATACAAGGGTTTTACAAACCCTTGCCTTCCTCCGTTTCACTCTTTGGCCACGGGAAGGGGAGAACGTGGAGAAAAATCTCTTGGTCTTACTACGTCAATTAGAAGAGAACAAGGCTGGAAGAAGTGAGAAATCTCTGGTGAGCATCTTCAGAGACCCGCATTATAGATGATGCTGCACATCAGAAACGGGTCCCATTACACCCATCCTCCCCAG